CTTTTGGGACACTTTGTACACACACACACACACACACACACACACACACACACACACACACACACACACACACACCACACGCACACGCACACGCACACGCACACGCACACGCACACGCACACGCACACGCACACGCACACGCACACGCACACGCACACGCACACGCACACGCACACGCACACACACACACACACACACACACACACACACACACACACACACTACCGCTCAAAAGTATTTGCCCACTGTAAATTTTATCAAAAATTTTAAAACAAAAGTCTCTATTATGACTTCATCAATATTTATTGTTTATGTATACATATATCATACTTATCAATAGATGTTATGTTGAATAAGATTTGATATTTACCAATAGTTAACCACGAAACTAAAGATAGTGCCTATGATTCATTTCTTGGAATTAATGTACACTGTGCGACAACGATTCGTTCCCTGGCCCCTCTCGCGGGGCAAGGGGAACGTAGACATATCATAGCGCCATCAGCCGGCAGCGGCCAACTAGTCCTGATTTATCGATCTAATTACCGATCGCTACAAAATAATACTCTGGGTCGATAATGGACAGAGTTGGTAATACACACGCGCGGTTTAATTATACGAGAATAAATCATTAATATAAGGAGGCAGGAACCCAGATAGCACATGGAACTCCTATGGACGTCCAATGGACATTCGAGTTTGGACGTCCATAAGATGTCTGAATTAAGTCCGACGGATATCCATTGGACATCCATAAGACGTCGGTTATTCACTACTTCGGATGTCCAAAAAACAATCCAAAAAAGGACTTAAAATGGACATCATTTTCAGTGTCTTACTCTTTCAAATTATTATTGGAATAAATATCAAAAATTCATAAACTCAGAAAAAAATTTATATTTAATTATGTATAATTGTGTAGATATAATTATGTATGGATTTTGACCTAATTTAATCATATATAAAAAATTGTTCTTTATTATACATAAATAAATAGCATTATGTATCCTTCATAACATTTAAAACATAAAAAATTCTTTGGCCCAACAAAATTAAATAATATAATAAAATAGTATAATTTATCTATTTCATATAAAACTTTACATAAAATTCATGTAAAAATTTTATTTATATTTATACTTGCTTATTGCACTCTACATTTTAAATAGGTAATTTAAAATGTAAAGTGCAACAAGCAAGTTTAAATAAGTACCGGATTATTTTCGTTTATTTGCCGGACATTTACTTGTACGACTTATAAAATCAATTTAATATCTGAAACTCTTGTATTGAGATCACAAATTAAATTGAACAGTATATTTTTAATCTTATTTGTTACTCTTTGCAAACTTTATATAATTCTTATAACTAAAACTTAAATACGAGAAAGATAGCGCATCGCACGTCGCATAGCGGTAAACGAACGAACTAACACATCCTTGCGTGCTCGCGCGAAACTTTGATGTCCAAGATCGGACATTTTGTGGACGTCCAAATATTGGCCGTTAACGGATGTCCCGAATCGGATGTACGATGAACAGTCATTTCATGTCCATGGACGTACGGACGTAAAATGGACATAAAATGAATGTCCATAGGATGTCCTGTGCTGTCTGGGAAAAGAATGAATGATACATTAAAATACAATGTTTTTTAAAAATTTTTAAATGAAATTTCCGCACGAATGTTCCAATGTTAAATAAATGGTGGCTCTGAAAAGAACCGTTTACTTACTAGCTCTAAAAAGAACTGTTTAGTAATCAGTCCACCACCCATTTGCTCAACTTGATTTAGCCTTTTCTCAATGGATTCACGTAGGTTTGTGAAAAGTTCAGGCTTCTGCCTGAGATTTTCCCACGCATTCTTTGCATGCATAATTAATTGTGCTTTAGTTCTTTCATGGCCAGGATCCCACGAATTTACGATTGCTGCCTAAGTATTTTCAATTAAATTGAGATCCGGAGATTTCGCTGGCCAATTAAGGACTTCAATTTCTGGGTGTTGAGCAAACCATTCCTGTACTATGCCGGCGGTGTGCACTGGACTATTATCCTGAACTAGTCGAAATGTCGGCATATCGTCTTCACTATAGATTCTGCGAACACTTGGCAGCAAAATGTTCTCCAGAATATCTATATATTCGATGGCGTCCATATGCGATGACACTTCGACTAGTTCTCCCGGACAATGACAGCTAATCCACCCCCACATAGCACAAGTAATGCGCCCACTCTTTCCATAAGGAAGCACATATTTTTCATTTAATCGATGATCTTCAGGTCTCCAGACAAACAGACGTCGATCATCTGCCGAACAAAATACTTTCTCGTCAACCCAGATAGTGTTTAATTAATGCAGCGCAAAAGCGATACGATTATCGCGATGTCGATTCGTTAATGGAATTTTACGTGCAGGATGATAACAGTGCACATTCGCTTCGTGCAAACGCCTTTGCGCTGTTCTACTACTTATCTGTAAATTTAAATCCTTTACAGAGTGCGAGACCGGAAGAAAAGGATTTTCATCTACCTGTCTGACTAAAGATATATTTTCTTCAACAGATGTAGATCGCCGTCCACGGTTGTTTTTACGTCTGTCTATAAGATCGCGACCTTCTTCCTGCCACCGATTAATTAATTTTCTCACCGTTCTCTCATTACATTCAATACGATCAGCAATGTCATTCACACTCATACCTCCTTCCCACAAACCTACGATCCGACCACGAGTAAAATCGCTAAGTGCCATTGTTGAGTAAAGAAGACTTGATAAAAAACAATTGAACATCGGTCCTGGCGAGTGTCTTTTCATAATGATGTTCATTTGTTTTTATATAGAATAAAGAGATGTAAAAGTTAATATATAAGAAGATAGCCACCGTGTAATTAACATTATTCGTAGTAGATTGAATGCTAGAATAGAATGGTAGACTGAATTTATTAAATAATTTTTTTTCTAAACCATTGATTAAAACGATTCTTTTCGGAGCCATAATTTATTTAACGTTGGAACATTCGTGAGGAAATTTCATTTAAAAATTTTTAAAAAACATTGTATTTTAACGTATCATTTATTTCTTTCCTGCTTCTTTATATTAATGATTTATTTTCGTATAATTAAACCGCGCGTGTGTATTATCAACTCTGTCCATTATCGACCCAGAGTATTATTTTGTAGCGATCGGTAATTAGATCGATAAATCAGAACTAGTTGGCCGCTGCCGGCTGATGGCGCTATGATATATGTCTACGTTCCCCTTGCCCCGCGAGAGGCGCCACGGAACGAATCGTTGTCACGCAGTGTACTTATGTTTTACCCGCGACAGGCACTTGATTATTTCGATCTTCTTTTATTTGGTAGTTTGGCATACAGAAATAAGACGTATAATACAACTTTGCTTTAATTATCTGTTCACTTGACTAAAAATCATAACTGTCTAAAATACTCTCTTTTTATAAAGACTTTTTTTCCCTCAATTTACCAAAATGGGCAAAACAAAGGAATTACCGGTAGAGACGAGAGGAATTATTATCGGGCTTCATAAGGCCGGAAACAGCAATCGTCAAATCGCAAAAGATTTGAAGATATTAAGACGAACTGTTGACTACAATGTGAAGAAATTTACTACTCAAGGCAAAGTTACCAATAATCCTCGCCAAGGCAGACCAAGAATAACGAATTCAAGGGATGATTTAAATATTATAATAAAAAGCAAACGTAATAGACGCCTTACCGCTCCTGAAATAACAGCACAAATCAATGAGAGCCGCAATAAACCTATTTATTAGTTTATCCACTGTAAAAAGACGACTTCTAGATGCAGGCCTTAAAGGATGTTTAGCCGTATCAAAACCGCTATTGAAGACTGCAAATAAGAAGAAAAGACTTAATTGGGCTCAACAACACAAAGATTGGACAATTGAAGACTGGAACAAGGTTCTTTGGAGTGATGAATCCAAATTTGAAATTTTTGAGACTAAGAGACGTGTCTTCGTTCGCCGATATTCTAATGAGAGGGTAGCTGACGGCTGCACAGTGGCTTCTGTCAAACACGGTGGAGATTCTGTCATGGTGTGGGGATGTTTCAGTGGATCTGTAGTGGATGATTTGATTAAAATAGAGGGAATTCTCCGAAAAGAAGGATACACAAAAATCATAGAAGAATATGTTGTTCCTTCTAGCACTCGGTTAATTGGAACAAACTTTATTTTTCAACATGATAATGACCCCAAACACACATCAAAACTGTGTAAAACATTTTTAGAACATTTGAAAAGGCAACACGTTTTAAAAGTTATGGTATGACCCCTGCAATCCTAATCCTAACCTGATCTTAATCCGATTGAATTATTGTGGGATGAATTGGATAGACAGGTGCGAAAATCTTGTCCTACATCCCGAGAGGACTTGTGGAGAATTCTATAAGAAGAGAGGCAGCAAATATTCAGAGAAACGCTAGAAAAATTAATAAGAAGACTGCCAAGATTTTGTGAAGCCGTAATCAAAAATAAAAGCATATAGATAAATAGCATATAGATGAATCAAAAGTTTAATGTATAAGTTAAGTTAAGTGTACAATTTGTTCTTACAATTTTAGTTTATTATATATGAATACTTTTCATAAGATTATTACATTGTTTTATTTATTCCTAGCCATTAGAGCACAAGTATCTTAGGTGGGCAAATACTTTTGAGCGGTAGTGTGTATACAGGGTATATATCCCAGCAAACACACATGTAACTGATATTTCTTGTTATATAACCAGAAAGTATCTGGGAAGTATCATTGATATGTAACTAATTTATGTATATGACACATAAATGTGTTCTGTTTAATACATTTCATATATGTAAAAATAGCATATAAAAGATACGTAAATGTACTACTATTTGATACGTATCATTAACTGTGTAACGATATGTATCGTATTTGTAGCTGATATATATAAGTGATATTTAAATTGGCCGTGATAGAACGAATTGTGCGTTTGTGCAGTCGTAGTGTCGCATTAAAAGTTATTCACAAGTATCGCGCACATGATTGCAAAATATATCTGAGGTAAAATATAAATTTTAAATAACTTATTATACTATACTAATAATAATAATCTTAAAGTGCGTAAAAATGTCGAAAAGAAAAGATTTTTGTGATTTATCAGTTCGCCAACAGCGTAGACGTATTGTTAACCTAACAAATGAAGAGGTTAACCTCACAAGATGCAGTGAATTATTAAATGCATCGACAAATAGTATTGTTAATAATGATGCTGCTTTTATACCGAATCTTAATAATGATGGTATTGAATCTAAAAGTGATTACAGTAATTTCGAATCGTTAAGTGATATCGAAAGCGACGAAAATTTTACCGTAAAAATGCAAAATGATTCGACACATGATATTACATATGATATACGTTTTTGGATTTTAAAATATAATATAAGTCATGCAGCAGCAAATGATCTTCTAAAAATTTTGAAAAAGTACGAACATCATAAAAGTTTGCCAAAAGATTTCAGATCTTTAATGAAAACACCACGAAATATACAGTCGAATATTACACATATTTTCGAAGAGGGCAAATATATACATTTTGGTTTAGAAAAAGGCATCAGAGCTTCTATATACAAACATTATGTTAATTTACCGCAAGAAATATGTTTAAATTTTAATATAGATGGATTACCTGTATCCAAAAGTTCTTCTGGGCAATTTTGGCCTATTTTAGCTGCTCTAGTGGATAATGCCTTGTATACTGAGCCATTCACAGTTGGAATTTATTATGGTACCAAAAAACCAGAAAATGTAAATATTTTCTTACAGCCATTAGTTTTAGATATGTTGCTTATAAAGAATCAGTGTGGTATATTTATAGATGAAAAACTTATTCCTGTAAAAATAAATGCTTTTGTGTGCGATGCACCAGCAAGAGCTTTTATCGCTGGAATAAAAAATCATACAGGATATTTTGGCTGTACAAAATGTATATGCGAAGGTAACTTTATTGAAAATAGGGTTGTTTTTCTAGAGTACAAATGCTCTCTTCGAACAGATATGTCATTTAAAAACAGAATGCAACCTGAGCATCATCGTATATCATCTATTCTTGAAAATACAGGCATCGGTTTGGTATCGCAATTACCCTTGGATTACATGCATTTAGTATGCTTAGGAATTATGAAAAGATTATTGCAATTCTGGGTACGAGGCAAAATGCATGTTCGAATAAAATCACACTTACTACAAAGTACTTCAGATACATACAAAAATATGAAAAAATTTATACCATTAGAATTCGCTAGATACCCTCGAAGCTTATTTGAAATCGATAGATGGAAAGCTACGGAGTTCCGTTTGTTTATACTTTATACAGGACCAGTATTATTAAAAGATGTTTTGTCAAAACGTGTTTATGAACATTTTCTATGCTTAAGTGTATCAATTAGAATACTTTGTCATACACATATGTGTATTAGTCACCGATCATATGCACAGGAATTATTAATTTATTTTGTAAAAAATTATGGTGAATTATATGGTGTGCAACACATTTCATATAATGTACACAATCTTATACATCTTTCAAATGATGTGGCCTTGTTTGGTCCATTGGATTCATTTAGTGCATTTAAATTTGAAAATTATTTATATAAATTAAAGAGTAAAATATATATAGGAAAAAATTATTTAGAACAAGTATTCAACAGATTACATGAAACAGCACAAATAGTAAAAAAAAATGAAATAAAAGTATATCCCATTATTCATTTTAAACATGCACAAAATGACATGATCGAGAAAATAGAATTTGCAGGATTTAGTTTATCTACAAAAGAATTTGACAATTGTTGTTTTCTACATGATGGATCAGTAATCTTTGTGGAAAAAATTTTATATCAAAATCATATTTCCTTCTCTGGTAAATGTGTTACAAAATGGAAATCTTTCTTTAATACGCCTTGTAACTCTATCAATTTATCTATTCTTCTGATATCTAAAACTGACATGTTTGCTATCAATTCAGTAAATATAAATCAAGTGCGTGAAAAGAATGTCGTTATTGAAACAGAATCTGGAGATCTTGTAATATTGCCTTTTATACATAATTTTTATTAATATATAATACACTTATTAATATAATATACTTATTATCATTATTCACACTAAAATATGCACACTAATATAGAAATTTTGGAATTTATGTTTGTGGTATGCTATAGAAAATATAAGAAGAAATATGGTTTCCTATGCTGTAGTGCATTTTATAAAAAGCAATGATTACTCAGAGATACCATCATCATGGCTCACTGAAGAAAAAAATAAATGCTGGTGGCCAAAGTTAAAAATGTATCACAATATATTAATTACAGCGTAACACCTGATCCAACAACATGGGAAATTTATGACGTAGAGGTTGAAGGATTTTATGGTATATATTTTACTGTTATGAATAATTGTGCAAACTATTATAGTAAATTTTCCTATGTTTAACTGAAATTATTCTTTATTGAGAAATAGAAATAGAAATTATAAATTCTCTCGTAAAATAAATTATTATGTTCAATAGGAACTGTGCAACTGGCAAGAAAAAAAGCCGAAAACAGCAACTGCACTTCTACTGAAGAGAATGTTTTTCGTGGGAAAGGTCAGCGAAAAAAAAAAAAGAAAGGTTTTGACCAGCGACAACAATGAAAGTTCTGAAGATTTAGAATCAAAATGTAACAAGAAAAGAAATTATGTTTGTTCCATTTAAAAATAGTAATAACAAAATTATTAAATTTTAGTCATGATGAAATTTTATTTTATAGCATACTTTTTCAAATAATAAAAATAAATACAATTTTACAACACAATAGAGAAGTGAAAGTTATATAATACGTAATACTAAAATAATTTTCTTCTAAATATTAATATTTTATTACAGGTTATAAGCCTCCTCCACAATTAAATAAGAAAAGCAATGTGATTAAGCAAAATTACAAAATTTCAACACTTAATGTATCACATGACAAGCTACCGGACTCTATTCTGTCTTCTTCAACAACAGATATTTGCAATGGAGAATTTTCTTGTACAGATGTACTAGTTAATGAAAACAATCAGAATAGCAATGTCATAACATTGAACGAGATTCCTGTTGTAATAGCGTCTAATTCAACATATACACCACCAGCTTTTGAAATAGAAGGTATGTTTTATTTCTTATACATACATATATATACAGGGTGGGGCATTTATCTTGAGACAAGATAATATCTCGATTGGCAGTCGATTATTTTGAAAAAAGTTTTAGACAAAAGTTGTATGGTTTCAAGGGGGACATAAGATGGTGTTATAGTTTGATCTTGAAGAGCCACCTGAAGGACACGCGAAGGTCAGCTCCAACTTTTTAAATGGGACACCCTATATGCTTTTGCATATTCTTGTAACTCATCTCAAGAGCTTTCCAAAACACTATAATTAAGTTAGTTTTCATTAAGTACTTTCCAAGTTATGAGGCTTGAAATCATTTTTTAATTTTACATAAACCGTAAAATATCTTGTAAAATATTCATTTTTCGATTATTTTACCTTAATACTTTTATGTACAAAATAATGAGAGGAATCAATTGGTGTAAAGAAAAGACATAGTTATTTTTAAGAAAAAATATGTAATTGTTAATTGCAAATTACATTTTTTTTTTCGAAACAACTATGAGTTTTCTTTACACCAATTGATTTTTCTCATTATTTTGTACATAAAAGTATTAAGGTAAAATAATCGAAAAATGAATATTTTACAAGATATTTTACGGTTTATGTAAAATTAAAAAATGATTTCAAGCCTCATAACTTGGAAAGTGCTTAATGAAAACTAACTTAATTATAGTGTTTTGGAAAGCTCTTGAGATGAGCTACAAGAATATGCAAAAGCATATAGGGTGTCCCATTTAAAAAGTTGGAGCTGACCTTCGCGTGTCCTTCAGGTGGCTCTTCAAGATCAAACTAGTAACACCATCTTATGTCCCCCTTGAAACCATACAACTTTTGTCTAAAACTTTTTTCAAAATAATCGACTCCAATCGAGATATTATCTTGTCTCAAGATAAATGCCCCACCCTGTATATATATATATATATATATATATATATTTGCATGGTGTATGTATATATGTTATTTATATGTTATTATGTATTATATATTTATTTATATATTATTATGTTTGCATGTGTGTGTGTGTGTGATTTAGAACCAATTCGTCCAAATAGAGAAGTTACCTCTGGTATTCAAAAACCAGTCACGGATGCCAGCTCAAATACCTACAGTAAGAAAAAACTTCCAAATATTTACATTAATATTTACATTTTACCTTTTTATATATTATTATATATTTGCATGTTTTATATATATTGCAGACAAAGTACAAAGAATTCTACAAGAATGTACGTTAATAAAAATGTACGTAAAAAGTATTGATATCCGACTGAAATGTCTCGAGAATAGAAAGAAAAAAAATGATTCCGATGGAGAGGAAGTACAAATAATACAAGATCAATTGCCTATAAAAATAATTGATCAATTGATTCATTTTGATCAATCTATGGAAAACGAGAATGTTAAAAAAGCATTTGTATGTTATTTGGATATATTAGCTGCTTTTGCGACAGAATCAAAATGATCCAGAATAAAATGAGCCTGCGTTGTGATTGGTCAAATCTGAAATATCATTGAATTTTCTATTTATTCTGGATCAATTTGATTTTGTCGCGAAAGCAGTTATTGTATATTACAAAAATGCTTTAGTAGTTAAAATTAATAAATATTTTCAGATAATGTATGTCAAACGTATTGGTGGTGCAAACGGAACAGACAACGTAAAAGCAATATTCAAAAGAATTTTTACAAATCACCTTGGTACAAAGTGCAGTTGGTTAGGCCAACGAAACAATTTCAAGATTTGTGATCTTTCACTAATAACAGTAATTCAAAGTAAGTACTTCCATTTGCTTATTCAATTGATTTCAAATATATTTTATTTATGTGAATATTATTTTTTTGCTTATACAAATATTTTAAGATGCAGTATTGTCAACGCATTACAATTTTCAAGAAATACATTTTCAAAAGGCAGCGAGTGAATGGTTCCGTCTTAGCAAATTAAGGCTTTCAAGAGAACAAAAATATAGACATGAAGCAGACGCAAGTGATAACAAAGAAAATTAAAATAAATAATGAAAATTGATTTTCAAATATTTTTCTTAATATAATTATCTTATAAGTAACAATATGAGTTCAAATGCTGTGAAAAATGTGCAATGTAAAAAAAAGTGCAGTGTGTACAAATGTAGTACAAAACAAATCAAATCTTACATATACATATCACACATGTACACATCACTTACACATGCATATATGACTAGTAACTTGAATAATTTTTGCCATTGCTATAGAATTTATAAAAAATATTACTTTATTTTATTTATATATATTATATACATACACACACACACACATATATATTTATATTTATATACAAGAGTGCATATTTTTTTTTAATTTTATAGTACTAAAATAATAAATTTTGTTTTTTAGCAAATGCTGAAATATATATATGATGTAGGTTAAATTTCATGATACTTCAGACTATATTTTGATATTCAGCATGACATTGTAAAATTATTATTTATCTTTGAAATTTTATTTTATCCTTTTTTTCTCAAGTGTATGTATGTTAAATATTTATAAAAAATAAATATATACTTGTGATATATAATTACTATACATTAATATAAGATTTTAATACATTTTTTAATTATTTATGTAATTTCTGTTATATAATATTTGCCAAAAATATAAAAAATAACTTAAGAATAAAATAACATTACAATATGGCTAATCCTCTAAATGATACCTATTAATTCCTAAACACGCAATGTGGATATACATTAAGTAACATAAACATTTCAAATGCATATACATATATAACTATGTGTAAATGTGTAACAACATACATTTTGTTCATATGTAAGGCGCACAATAGAGAAAATATAATGAGTAAGAATTATATTTTAAAATAATAAAATCGAAAAAATTTTCTGATATAAAAATATAAATTCGCTATAAAGGATTATAGTAAGGCTAATAAACTAGTAAGAGCCTTTTATATTCGAATTTGTATTTGTATATCACATTTTTTCGAATTTATTATTTTAAAATAATTCTTACTTCTAATATTTAATTAATATTTATTCCTAGTATTTTCTCTATTGTGTGCCTTACATATGAGTAAACTATATGTAACACATTTATACATTGTTATGCATTTGAAATGTATATGTTACCTAATGTTCCGTAACTGAAATATATTTGTTATGTGATATAGTGGTATGATTATATAACATAAATATAATATTTAAAGTTCAGTGATATATATCTCTGATATATCACAGAAGTACTTTTGTTGCTGACATTTAGCAGTACATGTAACATACATGTATTTTACTTATTATGTAACTATGTTACTTGTGATATATAATGTTATAACTCTGAGAGATATATATTACATCTCTGTGTTTGCTGGGATATATATATATATATATATATATATATATACCTATATACATATATATACATATATATATGTATATATATACATATATATATACATATATATACATATATATATGTATATATATACATATATATATACATATATATATATATTATATATACAGGGTGGGGAAAAAGTATGGAAGCAAACAATTATTTCCGAAACTATTCATTTTTCGACAAAATGTCTTAGACATAATTTTTATGGTATGAAAAGATGTATTATGTGGCATAGACGGCATGACCTTGAAATGACCCTTACGAGCTGCATACAAATAACGTAAAAAATTTCAAATGGAACTCGTCAGTTTTTGTTACAGATTCTTGTAGCTGATGTCGAAACGTTTACAAAACACTACATATGAGCCCCATTCCCTTAAAAACACTCTCAGTTATGAAACAATTGTGATACAAACAATTTGTATGCACATTGACATTGCTTACTGATTTCGCATCATGACGTTCAGTTGCGTCCACTAATAACATGTAATTGTACCTGTTGTCATATGATACACTGTCTATGAGTCTTCATAGAATTTTTTTATTTCTTGATCATCGCTACCTTATTTATTATTATCATTTATTTTATCCTTAAAAAAGTAGTGTCAATTGGCATACATGTTTCGGATATTGTGTTTTTGAAAATTTGCTATTTTTGTCGTTTTCTATCATAGGAATTGTTACTGATTTTCATTTCTGTAATTTCAAATGTTATTTCTTCACGATGGCCCGGTTGGATGAATCGCACTTATCTTGCCTTAACTGGTTGGATGAATCGCACTTATTTGTCTTAAACTGGTTTGGATGAATCGCACTTATCTTACCTTAACTGGTTGGATGAATCGCCTTATTTGCCTTAACTGGTTGGATGAATCGCACTTAATCTTGCCTTAACTGGTTGGATGAACGCACTTATCTTACCTTAACTGGTTGGATGAATCGCACTTATCTGCCTTAACTGGTTGGATGAATCGCACTTATCTTGTCTTAACTGGTTGGATGAATCGCACTTATCTTACCTTAACTGGTTGGATGAATCGCACTTATTCTTACCTTAACTGGTTGGATGAATCGCACTTATCTTGCCTTAACTGGTTGGGATGAATCGCACTTATCTTACCTTAACTGGTTGGATGATCGCAACTTATCTTGCCTTAACTGGTTGGATGAATCGCACTTATCTTGCCTTAACTGGTTGGATGAATCGCACTTATCTTGCCTTACTGGTTGAATGATCGCACTTATCTTACCTTAACTGGTTAGATGAATCGCACTTATCTTACCTTAACTGGTTGGATGCATCACGCAATCTCTTCCTTGAGTACGGTTCGATGTACGCCTTAACTGATTCTATGAACTTCGCGTGTCTTTCGTATCGGCAGAAATGATCGAAGCGGTTATTCTTAATTGTTGCAGTAACGCTATTGTTGTACTGATCTCTCATAATGACATTCAGTCCGCGTTTACACACATCATGTAATACACACGTACGCTGTTTATTTCAATTTCGGTCGATACGAATTATCACAATGTTTGTAACTGGAGTGTTTTTAAGGGAATGGGGCTCATATGCAGTGTTTTG